CCTACATTTTTTTAAAATATATAATGTTATTGTTATTATATATCTTTTATCAAAGTATTTACAAGTTTAATGAATACCTTCTTTTCATGTGTTTTCCTCCAAGCTTTGTATTCTTGTCTATCCAAGCTTTGTATTATTGTCTATCCACCTCTGACCATTTCACCTAATATTAAGCATAAACGTTTCTTAATCAATACATTAACGCTAAATAATACTCAATGTCAATTTCATTTTACATATCGAACCAAAGTGATTGCCAGCTTCCTTCATCCTTTGGCATTCGATCATACTGTCAACATTTAAAATTTGTAATCAATTTAAAGTTCTTAAATATTTTAATTCGATTACCATGTCAAAAATAATAACAAAAATACATTGATACTTACTATAAGTACATATATCCACCCTTTGGTTGCTTTTGACTCTCAGCCTCAATTTCAAAGTCATCTTCGCCACCAACAATTGCAAGATCCGTTGACTTCATTTTTCCTTCATATATCAGTTTACGCAAATCAAAATCAAATTCTGGTTACATACACTTTATTCAATATACAAATATCGATAACAACTCTTGTAGTAAAACGGTTTCCTTCAAAAGAATTTGAATGGCCACTACTACAAGTATCGATACATTTATACAACCTACAATATCATTTACTACCTATAATATTATATACAGGTATCCATATTTATTTTCAACCTATAATATTATATAATCGGTCCCAAATCCTTCTTGGCTTCGATTCTAAATCCCCAAACCAAACCCAAAAATCTTAATCCCTATTTCCTTTAAAGGAATGAGAACACTCAATACTCCAAGTATCGGCACATTTATACAACCTATAATATCATTTTCTACCTATAATATTTAATAAAAGTATCCATATTTATCATCTACCTAGAATATCACTTTCTACCTATAATCGGTCTCAAATGCTTCTTTACTTCGAAAACCCCAAACAACACATAATACCCCTATTTTCGATTATTGTAATAATAAAAAACTTGGGTTTTAACAACGTATTTTTCGATTCGACTGCAGCAACAAACAAACAAACTTCACTTTAAAAATGCCTTCTGAAATGCAGCAACAATTACTCTTCGATTTCAAAAGCTCGGTCGTGTTCTATCTATTTTCAGAGGAAATTTAGCTATGCCTTTTATATTTTATCCGGATATGTTATGTATATTTAATCGATACAATTAAGAAATGTCTCGATACTTTTAAGTCAGGTGTCGATACTTTTGATAGGATATTTACTTATTTCTTTTAAAAGTATCGATAATTTCTTACGCATACAAAGTATCGATACATTCAACATAATCGGTAGTGCTTTACCGGTTTTATCATAATGAAACCGGTTTTGTCATATTTTTACCTATTATATTGTTATGGATCGATACATTTTTATAAAATATCGATACTTTATAGGCGCTATTACTGCTTTTCTTTTAAATTCCAAAAGTGTCGATACTTATTTCAATGAAATCGATACTTTCAACATATCTGGTAGCGCTTTACCGGTTTTGTCATAATGAAACCGGTTTTATCATATTTTTACCTGTTATATTATTGTGTATCGATACATTTTTATAAATGATCGATACTTTTTAGGCTCTAGTACTACTTGTTTTTAAAATTCCAAAAGTGTTGATGCTTATTTAAATGGAATTGATACTTTCAACATATCCAATAGCACTTTACCGGTTTTGTCATAATGAAACCGGTTTTATCATATTTTTACATGTTATATTATTATGTATCGATACATTTTTATAAATTATCGATACTTTTTAGGCTCTAGTACTACTTTTCTTTTAAATTCCAAAAGTGTCGATACTTATTTCATTGGAATCATTACTTTCAACATATCCGGTAGCGCTTTACCGGTTTTGTCATATTGAACCCGATTTTCTCATATTTTTACCTAATATATTATTATGTATCGATACATATTTTATTTATATCGATACGTACCGACAAGCTAAGTTTGCCGATAGTCAAATTTTTTTAATATTTCTTCATGATTTCCACCTACAACATTATTATTACTCAACATTTCCGGTAGCGCTAAACCGACTTTGTTAAATATCTTATTATGTTTCCGGTAACGCCGTATATTAGTCCGTCTTTCCTGAGACTACCCGATGGGTTTTGGACATCCGAAAACGTTGAAAAGGGCGAACGACTTGGTCATTGCTGTGCTTGGAATTTTCCAACAAAACTTCAAGATTCAAATCCGCTTTTGGTCCCTTAAATTGGGATTTTGAGGACTATAGAATTTTGTCATAGGTACAGCTGCTTCCTCTAATTTTGATCGGAGTCTTTCTTGATTATTGATAATAAATACAAGTTCTGCTAGCGTAGCTATTCGATCTACTAGGAAAAGAGAAAAAACTAAAATAATATACCTAGAGAGAGATCAATTTATATTAGTGTAAAATTAAGCGAGTCTTATATATTTTCATTAGATTTTATAAAATTATTATTTTAACAATTCAATCATTGTACAATTGCATTTATTACGCATGTAAATCTTTAATCAATATGATATCTCTATCATATTCATCTAAAGTGTGATCATTATTAATATACATTTAACGATTGAAATATTTTTATATAAAATAAATAGTTAAATATTTTTATCCTATTAAAAATTTGATACGTACAATTTACTTGAGTGAAAAATATGAAATTCAACGATTAGATTGTTAAAATACAATCTCCAAAAATTTATAAAGACGTGCACAAACTCATTTAGGTTTTATACCAATGATAAGGTTTAACTTTCAATAATGATTATTAGAAGTTGGAATGATAATTATATTTTAACTAACATCTATAGGAAACCCCTTCAACGTTATTTGTATTAAAAATACTTCAAAAATATTCGTAGAAAGTATTAGTCTTTCATTAGGGTGTTGGCGGCCTTAAATGATTCTATAAATACGTAATATAAAAGGGTATATTTCCCTTTTCACCTATGTTCATAATTTTTTATCCAATAACTCAACTTAAATTTATATTCTAATAATAAAACAAGCTTTCCAATATAACTCAATTTTTATAAAAAAAAAATAATAGTATATATTTTCTAAACAAGCACGAGTCATTTCGAAATATGCATTAAAAACAGAATTGTATGCAATAAATTAATGTCAAATGATCGAGAAGTCTAATTATAAGTGGAGATAAACGCAAGATTCTATGTTAAGAGAGTGAATTTTTAAAAATTTAAAAATTGAGAAATTAATAAAATTATAAGACGACGGAAATAAATTTCAATAAAAATTACATAAAATATATAATAAATTTAAATTTCCACCGACTCTTTTCATGATAAGAATAGCAATGTGGTTGGAGATTGAAAACTACATTATCGGTTACGATGTTGCTTACAAATTGCATCATATTTTACAATACAAATATAATAATATGGTAGTACGCAGAGCATTCTATATAGTAATATAAATTGTTGAAATTTATTAATTAAATATTACACTCGTTAACATTAATGCCCTTTTTGCTAATTTACTGACTTAAGAACCCTATAAAATATTACTAGTACACTAATCAATTTGTTGACGTGTGTTGTAAATCGTTTTATTTCATTTGTAGATCGTATCAATATAAATTTAATAAATTGTTTTTTAAGGTAAACCTAATAAATTACGAAATGTTTAAAATATTAATCACGATTTCTTCAAGAAAAAAAATATTAATCACCAGTACGACTTATGTGCTAAACATATCAATTTATTTGTCTTCAACATATCAAATCTTGCTTGCAATTAAGAATTAAGGGTGTGCATTTAGTTGGTTTAGTTGTTCGATTTTTATATTAAAAATGAATAAAATTAAATGATATGAATTAATATTAAATTTATAAAATTAAAATATCAACAAGAGTTGATTCGAGTGGTAAACAGTTTAATATCACTTAAGCAATGTCTTGAGCATGAGTCATTGCATATGCAGAAAATCCCTGATGGGAGACTCGCCTACCAAAACTAAGTGTGCAACGCCGGTTGGTACAGATTAGGCAAGGCGAAGCCTTGAAACCCGGAGAACAATAAAAAATATAGAACTAAAATAATTACGATATTTAAATTACATTTGAATATTTTTTTAACTTATGATCTTTTAAAATTACAACAACATGAAGACAATTGAATTAAAATCCCATCAACTATTAAAGAATTTAAACTTAATGTAATAATATTATATGATGACATGTCAATAGTTAAAAAATATAACTAAATCTTAAAAGGTTAATTATTTATACTTGGTTTAAAAAAGGTTTTTAACAAGACGTACATACTTTATTCTTAGTGTCTCAATCTATATGTTTATAATGTATCGAAGACAAATAATTTATAATAATTTATATTTATTTTGTATTGAATTTATATTTGAGGTAATGATAGTAAATAAATCTATACATATCAATCAATAATAAAATATTATCCATAATAATAATAATAATAATAATAATAATAATTGCTAAAGTATATCAAATGTCACTAAATTATACTTAAATTATCATATTAAATTTTTAAAAATTATAAAATGATCATTAAATTTATCGAACTCTTACAAATTGGTCATTGAAAATTTATAATAAGTGTAATAGTTCGATCAGTTTAATGACTGTTTTGTAACAATTCATTAAATGTAATTATCATTTTGTAATAGTTACATAAATTTAATGATTAATTTATAACTTTGAAAATTTTATAATCGAAACAATCATTTGACCATAGTTCAAAGTCCTCTTGTGTGCTTTGCCCTATTTATATATTTTAAACGATTTATTATATATATATATATATATATTAAAATACCCCTTTCCATTCCGGCTGCCGTTGACCTCAACTTCCTACCAACGGAAAGAATCAATATAAGTAGGGTATAAAAAGCCCTTTTATGTTTTTCTTCTAATTGTAATCCTCCATTATTCCCCTGTTTCATCAAGACTACAATAAAAAAAAGAATCATCTCTCTTTGCTTCTCCTTCCTCTCAACTATAACTTTAACCAATAGCATGAAGAAACCTTGGGAGCTAGTTCATGCAGCCTCGTGGTACTGTACCGTAGCGTTGTTGGCTTTAATATTGATTGGCTCAGTGGGGGCAAACTGTGTATCAGATGAAGCTGCAGATGTGAAAGGGAGGAAGCTCCTGAGCCAACGACCCTGTGCTGAAATCTATGTGGTAGGAGAAGGTGAGACTCTTCACACAATCAGCGACAAGTGCGACGACCCTTTCATCGTCGAGCGCAACCCTCACATCAATGATCCTGATGATGTTTTCCCCGGCCTTGTTATTCACATCATTTCTTCACCTGCTACAAAACTATAGAGGTAGCCAAACTAATTGGCTTGTATCGTATATGTGGGTAGTTTTCAATAGGAATTAATAGAAGATGATTTGTACTTGTATTTCGTTTCTTCTTTGTAGTATACTGAAAAAATATTTGTTTATAATTTGCATGATCGGGAGTTTTATTGAATTGGAAACAACAGATTTGTTTTTAGGTTTTGCGAGTTATCTTTCTCTTATTTTATTCTCTTCTGTACATGGCTTCTGGAAAGTGGAAAGTACTGTCAAATTGCCGGTTTGAAATGACCAAAGCCATCAGCGTTGGCCTTCTTTCCGTTAACGAAGAAAAAGTCTCGTCTTTTGGTGATAAAAGCTAAGTTGGCTGCTTATTCCAACTTGTGTATGCACGTGGTGTTTATCTTAAATCCTTTAATTTAACCAATCATTCCTTTTACAATTTATTTTAAAATAACACGAATCAAGCTACTGAAATCATAAAATAAGTTATTATTGTTTCTTAAGGTTTCGGATTCGAGTACCAGAAATGTCATATATGTGAACGTTTAATGTTAAATAGTTGAGAGTTATCTTTGAATATATATTGTCTTATACTTATAAGTAGTGGATCCAGGAATTAAAAAATAGGGGTCCAAAATAAATATTATAATATTTATTAATAAAAAAAGTTACATAATTAAAAATCCAAAATAACAATTCATTCAAAAAGTACAAAAAATTACTAAACACTAGAAACAATTAAAATTGTTCTCAACGAGCTTTCATTCCTTTAAATCATTTCAAGATTTTTTTCATCATCGATTTGGACAAGAACATCTCTTTCTATATAAGTGACCAAACAATCATTTTAAAATTGATCACCTATGCTATTTCGCAACTTATTCTTCACGATGGTCATTTTAGAAAATGCTCTTTCCACACTTGCGGTAGCTACGGGGAGTACCAACTTTATGAGCAAATAGACTTTTTGGTACACTTGATTCTTATTTGTCTGGACAAGCTTCATGGAAAGTTCACCCATATATTTCAATACCCAAAATCTATCATCCCTCCGTATATCAACAATATAATTATCAAGTTGATCATCAAGGGCTAGTCTATCAACACTTGTAAATTCATCAGGATATAATTCAACAAGTCTAAGTATCTTTTGTTTGTTTAACTCTATACTAACCTCATCAAATCGGTTGTTTAACTCTTGAAGATGAAGATCAATAACTCCCAAGAACACTTCAATTAAAAAATAATGAATATTAGTAGTATCCAAACGACACGTTTCTTTCTTCCCGGATGAGTATACACAACATCCATATTAAAAATATCAATGTCATTCTTGTTACAAAATGAAGTGATTATAGCAAAAAAAGACTCCCGCTCATTTTCCCTCATATTTTGCAATCTTTCTTTAGTTAAAATAACAAGTGACATAACATTGACAATATCTTGATCTTTTCTCTGTAAAGCTTTGTTTAATTCATTCATAATCCCAAATATTCTCTTCATAAAGTGAATCATGAAAATGAAATCAAATAAGTCTATTGCAAAACTCACATTATCGGCTTTTTGAGCATCATCACCATTTCGAGCATCATTACCAATCAAATCAAGCACCTCACGTATTGTAGAATACAAATCAATCACATTCAAAATCAACTTATAATAAGACCCCAACGTGTATCGCCCGACCTACCTAAACAAAGCTCTTGGTTTAAACCTTTTCCAGTCACAATATCACCATTTTCAAAGGCTTTTGCAATTTTTTCAGCTTGTTTTCCTTTAAGCATATCTTTTCGCCTACATGATGATCCAACAACATTCAAAAAATCTCCAAGTGTATCAAAAAGCCAACCACGATCTTTATTTTTTCTTAGAAACGACAACAAGAGTTAATTGAAGTTGGTGAGCAAAACAATGTATGTAGTATACAAATTGTTTTTCTCTCATGATTAGAGTTTTGAGACCATTAAGTTCACCCTTCATATTACTAGCTCCATCGTACCCTTGCACACGAATTCTTGAAAAACTCAAAGAATGCTCATCAAGAAAAGAAAACATAGCTTCTTTAAGAGACAAAGATGTGGTATCTCCAACATGAACAATTCCAAGAAACCGTTCCTATATCATTCCCTTTTTATCAACATAACGGACACACAAAGTCATTTGTTCTTTTTGAGACACATCACTAGACTCGTCTACTATTATTCCAAAATAATCCTTAGCAAGATCTTCCACAATTGCCTTGGTAGTTTCTTTTGCACATCAAACTCTTTTTGAATCGAAGGTGCAATCATTTGATTATTTTTATGTGCATTTTTCAAAATAATATTTCCCACATCATCATTCTTTTCCGCAATCCAATTCAAAAGTTCAAGAAAATTTCCCTTGTTACTTGATTCATTACATTCATCATGACCACGAAGTGCCAATCCTTGATATAAAAGAAATCTCAAACAATGAATAGAAGTAGTCAAGCAGATTCGGTAGTCACTTTTAGCTTGCTCGGTTTGTTGGTCTAAAGAAACTTTCAAGGATGACTTAAAGTTCTTTAAATTCTCAAACTTTTGAAAAACTTGATTATGAGCACTATTTATTCCACCAACATGTTTTCTGAACCAAACTGGCCTATTCCAACCTCTAAATCTATTAACAAAAAATGCATCTCCTCCTGCAGCTTTGGTAGTTTCATTCTTAAACAAGTAACAAACAAAGCAAAATGCAACATATTTTGAAACACTAATCAAGCCAAGAATACTTATTAAATCAAGATTTATTAAAGCGACGTAATGTACCTACTTCGAAGTCCATTTGAGGAAATTTGTGCTTTTTTGGTCGGCAAACACCTCTTTGTATGTTTTCTTTGTATGAATAATTTTTTTCCTTTTAGCCGGATCATGTGGAATAGAGATATCATTAACTTGGCTTTCCATCTCTCTTGATGCAAATGTTGTACTATCATCTTGTCTAATACATGTAGATCTCATTCCAGTTTCTTGAGTTTGTGGCATATTATTTGAAGGGAAATAAAATTCTTGTTCGACTTGAGTTGCTGAAGGTTGAGTCGGTGATGAGACACAAATTGACACTTGGGAAGAACTTGCATCATTCTTTTTGGGCTTTCAACAAACCAATTCAACGTTCCATTCTTCTTCTTTTTCTTTCGTTGATAGTTCATCTTTTCATCATTCATCTTCTTACTACTACAATTACAAAATTTACAAATCACAATAATTATTTATTATAATTCACTATTAGTAATTATATTTATTATCAAAGAAGTAAGATCTTAATTACTAATTAAATAATTTTAATGGATTCAACTTAAAAATTAAAATATCTAAATTGCTTCTACTTAAATTACACAAATTTAGTATACCATTTTCTTCTCCTTCCCAAAAATACATATTAGTAATTTTACATATCACAATTTAACATTCAAATATTCTTCATAAAATCACTAAAGTCTATTAAGTTGATTCAAAATTTAATTTTATCCCTTAATTTTAACTCACTCAAATTAAAAAATAAATTTTAAAACTTAAAAACTCAAATATAAATTTAACTAAATTTAAGAGGGTAAAAGAATGAGTGAAGAACCTAACTATCTAAGGAAAAGAAATGAGCAACAACTTATAGGCAGCTTGTTTGGGGAAGTTCATCGGAAAATCGTCGGTGAACGGAGTCGTGGCGGCTGGTTTAGATTCGAACAAGGGACCAACATTTGAGTAGCAGCTGGGGCTGAGGATGGGGCATGTGTGGGTTTGAACTAAAAAACAAAACATAAGCTTTAGTATAAGAGTGAAAGACTAAAAGAGGTGAAATGAATGGTTGTAAAATATAAAAATGATATATATATATATATATATATATATATATATATATTTTAATCAATAGTTTTTAATTTTAAAATATGGAATAGAAGGTTAACACTTTATTAGCTTCCTACTCACGTCATTTGAGAACAAATTTTAAAAAAAGGTGTGCAGAAAAGTAAAAACAAAGGTGATCATAATTTTTAAGTCTTGATATAATATATCAAGTGTTGGTATTTTTTAAGGAAAATGGGTATGCAACTATTACCTCCTGGGCTACATAGGTCCGTCACTGATACTTACCCTAGATTAATAAAAAAAGTTTTTAAAATTAATTTATTGGAATGTATCAACGATAAAAAAGAGTTGTTTTTCTAAATTTTTAAAATTTAAGTAGTTATGTTTGTAGGACATGTGAATTGTCAATGACTAAATGTTTATTGAATAGAGACTATCTTATAATCATCTTTCACTATTCAAAAGAAATTTTAGAAAATAATATTTCAAAAATGTATAAATAAATAGAATTACCAAATGAGTATAAATATTTTTATAATAATTTTTTAATTTTTAAAATTTTTATTTTAAAATTAAATAGATAATCATTTTTTCTTGAACATATTTAATTTTATTTAATATCATGAGCGCCTAAATCCATATTATTTGTCCCGTTAAAAACTTTCCTACTCCTAATCGAAATGAAAGAGATATGTCGAAACGATTTAAAAAAAACAAATTTAATTTTTAATTAAAGATGTAATTAAAAAATCTCTCCCTTCGAAAAATTTAGGATTCCCTTTAAATAAAATAAAATATGATTCGAGGAGTCGCCACCAATATTTTATTAGGGTGTGATTGGACACCCAAAATATTTTGCTATTTTAATAAAATTAAATTTAAAAATTATTAAAATAACACTAAAAAGTCTGCGTACCAGGAAATGAGTTCGAGAGTCGGTTATGTGTGGGGAAGGATTAGCACCCCCACAACGCCCTAAATCGGTACATTGTCCATTAATTATTTGTATTTGTAATAAAATTTGCAAGTTTGAATTTAATTTAATTTAATATCCCTTCGAATAAAATTCTTGAATTTTGGGATAAAATATTATAATATTTAATTATTTTCTATCGAAAAGAATTGATCTATCGTATCTTGAGACAGTCAAGTCCTACTCCAATTGAAACAAATAAATATTATAATTTCACCCTAATATTTAAATTCAAGAAATTAAATTAATTTAAAATTACCAAT